CCATATATGAAAAAAAAAAATTGAAACTCTCGAGATGTCTCAAGTTGCTTTGGAAGAACTTATGATCAAGAAAGAGGAAGAACTCAAGTGTGCTATGGCTACCATTGGTCTTTGGAACAGAGGATCAAAGACTTTGGACAATATTATTGGGTCTCAACAAATTTGTTCAGACAAGAGTGGCATTGGCTTTGGTGGTAAGAAAGACCAAAACCAGAGTGCATCTACATCTCATGATACAAGAACTCAAGGAAAAGGCGAACAAAAAATTCAACATGAGGATAGACTTCTCAAACTTCCTAGAGTTGGTAAGGTAAAAGAAAAAAAGGTACACCCTATACATCCTATTTTTATTTGTCATCATTGTGGTATGCATGGTCATATTCGCCCTTATTGTTATAAGTTGTATGGGAAAGTGTCTCAAAAGGGTAAAAATTCGAATACTTTTTGGGTTAGGAGACAACCTTACATGTCCAAGTAGAATACCAAGATTCATAAGGGTGTTTACAATGCCACGACATTTACCAAGACTGCTAGACCTAACTTTGTTCGTACTAAAGCGGTTTGGGTGAGAAAACTTGATTTGTGTTAATTTGTTTATTCATTTTAGTTTTTTTGGGTTTCTGTGTTTTTTTTTGTCATTACATGGGTGCTTGTTCTTTTTTTTTTTGTCTTGCTTTATTTAAGAAAAAAAAAATCCCAAAAAGATTTTCGTAGTATGGTTTTGCAAGCTTGAAAATTTTGAGCGGTCCTTGGTGCATATTGGAATTGATGAGAATGCCCATTACATGTTAATATATGTATGCTTTCTGTGGTCATTACTCGTTTTGGAGTGTGTGTTTTTTGATTAGTATGTCTCATTCTGTACACACTCTTGGATTAGCAAATCTTGGAGTCTTCTGCCTTAGTGATTATTTTTTCTCTATGGACTTCTGTCATTGATCTTTTGCGTTTCTAGGGGATTTGACCTATACTAGCATATCATGGGTGATGTTGAGTCTCTTAACCATCCTCCATCTTTTTGCATCTCCATGGCTTTCTCCTTAATTCTTTGTAGTCTAGCCATGAGGAGAAGGCTACGTCAGAGTCACCAACCAGGCCATCCTTATTATATCCATGCTTCTCTGGTTCGGTTTCCATACTCTTGAGCGTGTCAGCCGCCAATGATTGTGCAAAACAAAAAGAAAAAGAAAAAACAAAAAAAGAAAAAGAAAAAATATGCAAAAGAAAGAAAAAATGTGCAAAAGAAAGAAAGAAAAAAAAAAAAGATTCATTGATTGAGGGGGAGCCTCCGCTTTTACTCACCAAATACCCCTTGATTCCTAGTGGTTTGACTTTCCTTTGTTGTGCTTAGATTCTCTTGTCAGAGGTCCAACTTTCAGATCACTACTAGGATTGAATCTAGTGTTTGTCGAACTTCAAGAGTCACACACACACTTTTATCATGGGATCTATGCTTTTCACATAATGCATCACTTTCTTTTATGAGGAATCTTCTAGAGGTTGTGCACATTGTGTTTTCTTGTAATGGTGCTTCTTGGATAATCTTATGTGTATTAAGGTACTAATCTGAAATTCCTTACTTGCTCCACCATATTTTTTTTGTTGTTTTTCTCTTATTGTTCACTGTTTTCAGTGTTTGTTGTTGCTTTTAGTGAGGGGGAGTTTGGTTCATCTTGTTTTGGGTTGGTAAGGGAGTTTGGTTTATCATTGCAAGAGTTTGTTTGCATGAACACTTTGATATGTTTGGGAGATTAGCTATATGTTTTGCATGTTGCTATGCACTGTTGGCCCTTCTTGTATGTTCCTGGTATTTTCGTCATATCATTGCTTGTGTAGTTTATGATCTTGTTTTTATTGTTTGAGAGTTGTTTTTCATGAGTCTTAGTTTTTCATCAATTCATGTTTTCCATCTCATGTTTCAAGTTAATCGTGTCATATGTCTATTGCTTATTCATATATTCTTGTGGGACTAATAGTTGTTTTGGAGATTGTGGCAGTAGTAACTGTTTTGCAGATCATGACCTTGAGAAAGAAGTCGGCTTTTGTTGGCTGTAATGGGTTGGGGTGTTTAGGATTTTATTTGTTAGGTGTGTTTTGTCACGGCATTGCCAATGGGGGAGATTGTTAGGTTTTATTTCTTGGCAATCCCGTTTGACAAAACTCCTTTGAGATGTAATTTTATTCGCATTTTTATTTCAGTGAGGCTATGAGTTGTTAGATGTGAATCCAACCCAAATTGAGCCTTTCAGAGAAGTTTGTGATGCTAATGCTTTCAAGATTGCCACTTCATTGATTATGACGGGGATCGAGCTGCGCAGTCAGCTCACGGGGGTCCAGGGGGCAGCGCCCCTTGGCGGGTCCAGGGCAGTGCCACGGCGGGGTCGAGAGGCAGCGCCCCCGAAGCAAAATGCAAAAATGCATTCCGAGTTGCCTGTCCGCTCGAGTGGAGAATCCCTGGTTCCAGCAGTTTTGGTCGCCTGTAAAAGTACTGAGATGTGTGATTTTGCGCTCAAGCGGGTTCTCCAGTGCTCGAGCGGACCTCTATTATATCACGTGCATATTTTGCTGAAGCTGCTCGAGCGGGCTTTTGGGCGCTCGAGCGGACCGCGCGAACATAGTTTTCCGGATTTCATTATGGATTGGGTTTTCTTCCAAATCTAGGATTACTTTTGGTTTTTCTATAAGTAGTTGGTTTTCTCCCAAAACTAAACTACTCTTGAATTCCTCCAGATCTTCTTTTTGGTTCTTAAGGTTTATATCTGGGGATATTTTGTTAGTTTTCTTTGATGTTTTATTGAGTATTCAACTCATGGTTTAAAGAGAGTACATCAAAGGTTTGGTTGTTCTACAAAAGAGAGAGTTGTTCTTCGGTGGATTCTGAAGAATTTGAGCCTGAAGCTTTGGTGGATTCCGGGGTGGCTCATCATAAAGACAATTCCGAGGTGAAGACAGGTTGGAAGAGGCACATAGAGGTTGGTTCAATTAGGCGTGGATTCACTAGGTAATTGAGAGTATTCCTGTGTAATTCCTTTAAATCTTCTTAGTGGATTGTTTTGTGGCTGTTGCCCGTGGTTCTTTATCTCAGTTGGAGGTGTCCAATTGTGGTTTTTTCCACGTAAAATCGTTGTGTCTCTTTGTCTTGATTGTTTGATTGGGATTGTTATATTCTGCTTAAGATTGATACATAATCATAAATCAACATCTAGGGGATTTCTAGATTTTTCACCATTAATATATATAATACTACCAAATAAATAATTATTATGTTGTTTAAGAATTTAAATTTAGTAGTTTATCCAACAAATAATAAAAGCTAAATAAATTAAGATTCTAAAAATAAAAATAATAATAAATACAGTATTGTGATTTCCCAATAGATTATAACCAGGCAAGTCCCCAAGGTTGGTTTGGAGGTTTAAAAATGTATCACTCATAAAAGTAATGCGTCACCTAGTGTATATCCGTGTCTAAATTAATTATAAGATTACAATATAATTAAATTTAAAAGTATTGATTTAAAATGTAATTTATCAAATTTATTGACTTTGAAATGAATTTTGTAAAAGTACCCAAACATAAATACACCCCAATAACATTAAAGTAAAATTGAAAAATATAATTTATTAATAGAATTTGAAGTCAAAATTCTATTAATAAAAAAACTGTTCTTTTCAGTTTTTTCACAAATTACACGACTCCCATTATTTCTTCTCTGTTTCTCAAAATTCACTTTTATGATCATTTTTTTAACATAACCCAATTTAAACTTAATTTAAATTTTGAGTTTATATTTATCTACACACACACACACACAAAAACATTTTTTGCATAAACATAACTCATAAACTCAATTTTCATACAAATTTAAATTCACCATTTTTTTTTAACAGAACTCCATTTAAATTTTGAGTAATTTATCCAAAAAAAAAAACCAACATTTTCTACAAATATTTTTCAAAAAGAGTGGATTTAAAAAAAAAAAAATTTTAAACCCACTTTTTTTTGTGTGGTGTTATGCTCAGGTGACCCCCAACCTCTCTGTAATGTCTCCCACTCACTCTCTCTCTCCATCTTCCCCACTTTCTCTCTCTAATCTCTCCAGAAAGGTCTATCTTTCTCATTCTCTCCTTTCATAGGAAATCAACACCCATTCTCTCTCTTTCTGATTCTCTCATCTCTTTCTCAGTTTGAATGTTTAAAAAAACAAATCTTAGAAAAACAAATAGAAACCCAAATCTTAGAAACACAAACCAAATTGATGTATATCAAGTGTGATTCCATTCAACATATGGATTAAGGTTTAGAAAACACAAGCCCAAACATCCCCAAAACCAAAATTCCCAAACATCCATGCCCCGTGGAGTACCAAAAGAGGCTTTTAGCCCAGACCAAAATAACCAAAAAAGTTAAAAATTAAAAAATCAATCCACAACAAAAATCATGGCCTTATTAAATATTGTAAAGACCTTTGGTGAGATTTCTGAAAACAAATGCCAAATTTTCCAACATTTTCGAACCAAAAGCAAACCTCCCATGTCCAATTCAAAACCAATTGATTATTTTAACAAATCCAAACACACACAAATCCAAACCAAACTTGATTCCAGTTATTTTCCCACCCCAAACTGTTGATGAGGGACTTTCTTCCATCTCTTTTACAACATGCCTATCATAAACAAAAACTCAAATCGAATGCCTGCCACAAATAAGAAACAACAAAACTACATGAAATTGGGGGAAATTTAACAAAAAAAGGGGGTTCGAACTGGTTTTCTTAAAATGAAGTTTTCACTTGCAATTGACAAAGCAAGAAAAAATAGTTACAAATACAGAAGAAAGGCATCTTTACATCTGCGTGATTCTGGTTCATATAATAACATAAGCACAACAACAAATCACATTACTCTTCTAACCTCAGCTCTACTACAATTAAATTCCCAAAAGAAGCACCCTATCTGCGCAAATTTCCAAACCCTCTGTTTGATAGCTGAAAAATAAGGTTTTTTTTTTTTTTTTGAGTTATCCTCTTTCAAATTTTTTCAAAATAAAAAACACAGCAAGCTGATGGAGGCGATGTAGCGGTGGAGGCCATGCGGCAGTGGAGAGTTGCTGTCGGTGGTAGCCGAGGGAGAGGAGGAGGGAGAGGAGGAGGGATCAAAGAAATCTGGAACAAAGGGAATAAAACCCTTTTTGTTCAGTTCATACAGAACAGTCTTTGTTCATTTTCTAACACACAACATCAATTTCAAAAGGTTAGATAGAGTAGTGTATGACCGTGATTTGATAAAAGCAAATAATTCTAATTTATTGGATAAAAGCACGTTTGACAAAATGTGGGTTCATACTCATCATCTGCCAGTTGGTCTCTTTGATGGGAATGAGATTATCAGCGCGCACAACTTCTCTACTGAACTTGTAACATCATTCTGGTCATTGGAACAACCTGCCTGTGAAAGATCCAGTGCAGAAGGACAGTGTCCATTAACAAAACTATAACTATATTCTGACACAGATTTGTGCTGTCCAATTACTTCTGGACCAACATTTGCACCAGAGGAAGTACCAACCTCATATTGAAACCCCTTCTCTGGAGAAAATGAGCCATTTCTACCCTTTACATACTTATAAACTGCATCTACCTTGTTTTTTGCCCAGCCAAACACAAACACAAATAAAAATAAAAAAGAGAGAGAGAGGTATCGCGAAAACTAACAAAGATAAAATCTTGAAATTTCAAGCGGAAACTGAAATCATTACCCAACTAAATAAAAATATACTCACAAACATAATATATATAAAAAATGTGTAACAACCCACATTCATGTCGTAGTCATGTTCATGAGCACTCGCATAACCTTGTCTTGTTAAGTTACAATCATGAATCTTGTCTTGTTTTGACTATTGTTTTGAGCATGCTTTGTTCCTTCCTTGGAGTCTCACGCCTAAGTCTTGTCAAGCCTAGATTATCCCAAGCCGAGGTCATCCTATACCTAGAACCATCTTGGAACCACTTTGATTGACCTCTACCTTCGTCCTGGCATACTGACCGAGATGTCACTATCTAGGCCGAGGTGTTCATCACCAAGGCCGAGATGTGTATCATCTAGGCCGAGATGTCACCCTTGAACCCTAGTGATCCTGCTCCTAGATTGGTACGACCTAGACCGAGGTGTGGCACATCTAGGCCAAGGTGTGGCACAGCTTAGTCAAGTGTTGTCCTTCTTAGCCGAGATCATTGTCATCCTACTTGCCGATGCCTTGTTCCTGGCCGATGTCAGTGCCTCGTCAGAGAGTCCATACCGCATTACTTGTTAAACACCCTTTCGCCCATGCTTTGTCTAGTTTGTCAGCCACCTTTTCAGGGAAATCCAACCAGTCACCGCCACGTGTCCCAGCAGAATGCTAAACCCAGAACCGAGTGTGAGAACCTATCATTTGTTGTATATTGTTTTGGAAATTGGAGAGAGAAGCTCTAGGGGGAAGAAGAAGTTTAGAGTGAGAAAGTAAACCTTCGAGCTTGATTTCTTGAGGTCAAACCGTTAGATCCGTGTTCTAAGGTTAGATTCTTGATCCGCTCTTGTTGTTCTGTATGTTTATGATATTGCACTGCATGATCGAAAAGATTTGTGAGCCATGCACCGACTTAAAGTCCGGTTTTAGAAAGAGAAAATAGTGCTCATGTGTTCTTGAAGAAAAGTCATGTTTTGATTCGAAGGCTCATGCCTAGATCCATGTTTTTGTGTTTGTTCTTGCATGATTTTCAAGTATGGGTACCCAGGTCCATGTTTTCGAACTCATGACATGAAATCCCAAATTTTGTAACAAGTTACGAACTTGCATCCATCTTTCTCATGATCATGTTCATCATGTTCTTCATGTTCTTCAAAGGGAAACCCAGGTTTTCCCGACCTTGCTTTTGAATGAGGCCATGGGGACAACACCTCGGCAAGGAAGTGTAGGACCTCGGCTTAGACCTGGTTGGTACCCAGCATGTCTTCCTGACATGTAAAACAGTGTTTCGGCCTCCAGCATGTTTTCCCGAGATCAATTACATGCATATAAGATTTGTTTTGAGAAGTGCATTCAATAGGCCTTACCATGTGTTTGTAGGACTTGGGCTTGTCTCGACCCCGACGTTTGAAGAGCTATGTGAGTGGTATTTTTAATAAAGTTATGTTATAACGTCTTGTTAAAGCTTTGTCTTGTTTTGATAAAAGTATTTGATTTAGCATGAATGATTATCCCTATTTGTATATCAAACACTATCTTGTTTTGATGACATGTCTTGAAGGTCCTTAGTTGCAGGGGACTATAATGCAACTGCACTCTTGTCTTGAAAGTCCTTAGTTGCAGGGGACTATAATGCAACTGCACTCTTGTCTTGAAATGTCATCACCCCATGTAATATGTAGATGTTATTAACATCCAAGGAACTTGAAAGACCGACCAACGAACTTGACTTGCCTCTTGATTTGTGAAGTTATACTATGTATTATTGTTTTGAAAGAACCTCAGATAATAATCATGCAAAAACCTTTATTTCTAATATCATTCACTGAGTATCCAAGATCACCCTCCCTATGTATATATGTAGGTGATGAGCAAGAAGGCATTGAGGCCTAGATGTGCTGCCGATGTGTTTTGAGTGTATTGCCGACGTGTTTTGGATTCATCATTTTGTGACATCTTGAAGATCATGCTTCTTAGCTTATATTTCATGTGTAATTTGTATATGTCGGCTTGAGAAGCCTTTTGATCAAGATGTATTTTGTACTTAATTTCTGTATTAAAGTTATGTAAAAGATGTATGCCTTCGGTAATCTCGGGTTACTGGCCATCACGGCACCATTCTACTAAGGGCAGTTTGGGGTCGTGACAGAATGGTATCAGAGCCCGCGTTCCTTATAGTACGTTGATCACACACCTTGAGTCCTAAAGAGCATAGGATTTCCCTTAGAATGATGTTATGATCGCATCATATTGCTTGCTACCTGACTATGTGTGCATCATTTCGGCATGGACATTTGTTACTTGCATACGTGTTATCTGTCCAGTTGTTTTAAAGTCACCTTTTACATTCCCCTAGCATCATGAGGAGAGGTAGACCTCCAATTGGCCAAGATCATTCCGAAGATAGATTGGAGAGACTGGAAAGGTTAGTCGAAGGCTTGGTTCGTGAGCTGAGACAACCGAGGCCGCAGGATACTGGTACCACCTCTACCCAGGCCGAGCAGACTAATGGCCGATATGCAGCTCCACCTCCACCTCCTCCAGTGCCGCAAGTGCCTCCGCAACAAGCTTTGTATGGGAACGACACGATAACTCTGATCAGAGAGTTCAAGAAAATGAAACCGCCAAGATTCCAAGGGGGTATAGAACCAATGAAAGCCGAGGCGTGGGTTTTAGAAATGGAGAAGTTGTTTGAAATTTTCCCCAGTACAAACGCTCAGAAGGTATCTCTGGTAGCGTTCACGTTAGACGACGACGCCCGCAGGTGGTGGATGATGGTTCGAGAAAGTAATCCGGGTTTGACTTGGGCCAGATTTCTAGAGTTGTTCTACAACAAACATTTTCCCCTTAGCGTCCGAGACCGAAAGACCACGGAGTTCCAGAATCTGACACAGGGGAACAAGACAGTGGCAGAGTATGATCGTGCCTTTACCGAATTGGCGAGGTATGCGCCTCACATGGTTGATGACGACTACCGGAAGGCGAGAAAATTTGAAAGTGGGTTGCGTGGACCGATACAAGACCGGGTCAACATGCTCAATATGCCGACATACACCGGAGTACTAGACAAGGCCATCTTGGCTGAAGCTAACTTGAACCGATACTAGAGTTCAGGTGAGAGTCAGAAGAAGAGACAGAATTATGACAATCGCAGAGTTCCGTTCAATGCCAAGAAGAAGATTAATGTGGACAGTTCCAGCAACTCAAATAAGGAAGGCAATGCTATGCCGACGTGTTCGAGTTGTGGAAAGCTACATTTTGGGGTCTGCCGTTGGGCGACAGGGGCTTGCTACGAGTGTAGCGAGATAGGTCATCGTGTGAAGGACTGCCCGAAGACAAGGGCTAATGATGGAAAGAGGAATGGAAGCACCTCGGGTTCTGAACAGAAGAATAACATCGGGGGAATACAGGCGAGGCAGGGCAGAGTTTTCGCATTAGTGCCAGGAGACGCCCAGAATGCTGAAACAGTGGTGTCAGGTACCATTTCAATTTGTTCTCAAGATGCATACGTATTGATTGATTCGGGTTCTACGCACTCATTTGTGTCTACCTTATTCGCCGAGAAGTTGGATAGAGAATTAGAACCCCTTGATTATGTATTATCTGTGTCTACTCCATCTGGGAGAAATATGATTGTTACATCCATTTATAGGGCGTGTATTGCTATGATTGAGAGTGTAGAATTGTTAGTTGATTTTTAAGCATGACTCATTTCGATGTCATATTGGGAATGGATTGGTTATTAGCGAATCACGCATCCATTAATTGTGTTACTAAGAGCGTCACATTGAGGACCCCAAGCAAAGCCGAGGTCATATTCCAGGGTAAAGGAGTAGTACCCCCACCTTACTTGATCTCATCCATGAAAGCCTATAAGTTGATCCAAAAAGGGTGTCAGGGTTATTTGTGCAGTATACTAAGTGATCTGAATGGAAGTGTTGAATTAGCCGACATACCCGTTATTAAGGAGTTCCCCGACGTCTTTCCAAATGAGTTGCCTGGCCATCTAGTCGATAGGGAAATAGAATTTGCTGTGGACATCATGTCGGGAACACAACCTATCTCCAAAACACCCTATAGGATGGCCCCAGCCGAACTTAGAGAGCTGAAATTGCAACTGCAAGAATTGTTGGCTAAGGGATTTATCAGGCCGAGCACTTCACCATGGGGGGCACCCATTCTATTTGTTAAGAAAAAGGATGGCACACTTCGTCTTTACATCGACTACAGGGAACTTAACAAGGTGACCATTAAGAACAAGTATCCATTGCCTAGGATTGATGATTTTGCTTGATCAACTACGAGGAGCACGAGTCTTTTCCAAGATTGACCTCAGGTCGGGCTACCATCAGTTGAGGGTTAAGGCCGAAGACATTGAGAAGACTGCTTTCCGAACAAGGTATGGCCACTACGAGTTTTTGGTAATGCCTTTTGGAGTAACCAATGCCCCTGCAGCATTCATGGACTTGATGAACAGAGTCTTTAAGCCGTATCTAGATGAGTTCGTGATTATTTTTATCGACGACATATTGATATATTCCGAGAGTACGGGTGAGCACGAGAATCATCTGAGGCTTGCCCTGCAAATCTTGAGAGATAAAAAGTTGTACGCCAAGTTGAGTAAATGCGAGTTTTGGCTTTTCAGCATTTCATTTTTAGGGCATGTGATTGATGAAGAAGGTATATCAGTTGACCCCAGTAAGATTGAAGCCATTGTGAATTGGCCGACGCCGACTAACGTGTCCGAGGTTCGGAGTTTTCTGGGCTTGGCAGGGTATTATAGAAAGTTTGTAAAGGACTTCTCGAGGATTGCAGTACCACTGACACAACTAACTAAGAAGGGAGCAGCATATGAATGGACTAATGATAGGGAGTCAGCATTCCAGGAATTGAAGACGAGGTTAGTTACAGCACCAGTTCTTGTACTTCCATCAGGTAATGAAGAATTTCAGATTTACAGTGATGCTTCACATAAGGGTTTGGGTTGCGTGTTAATACAAGGAGGTAAAGTCATAGCATACGCGTCTCGTCAATTGAAGCCCAGTGAAAAGAACTATCCTACCCATGATTTGGAGCTAGCTGCCGTGGTTTTTGCTTTGAAGATATGGCGTCATTACTTATATGGAACTTCTTGCCAAGTTTTCACAGACCACAAGAGTCTGAAGTACTTGTTCACCCAAAAAGAGTTAAACATGAGGCAGAGAAGATGGCTTGAGCTATTGAAGGACTATGACATGCAGATTCAGTATCATCCAGGTAAGGCAAACTTTGTAGCCGACGCGTTGAGCAGGAAGTTAGTTGGAAGTTTGGGGTGCCTGACAACGATTTCAGTGGAACCGACCATTATTGAGGAAGTGAAGACCAGACAGATAGAGGATAAATTCCTCAAGAAGGTAATTGACAAATTCGTCACCAAGCCGAGGCCGGGATACACCATAGAAAATCAAGTGCTTAAGTTTGAAGGAAGATTGTGCGTGGCCGACGTCCCGGAGTTAAAAAGGAAGATTTTGCAAGAAGCCCATAACTCCAAGCTTGCCATTCATCCAGGGAGCACCAAGATGTATCAAGACGTAAAGCGGACCTTCTGGTGGCCAAACATGAAAAGAGAGATAGCCGAGTTTGTATTTCAGTGTCTGTATTGCCAGCAAGTGAAGGCAGAACACCAGAGACCGGCAGGACTTCTTCAACCCCTGTCAATTCCTGAGTGGAAATGGGAACACATCTCCATGGATTTCGTGGTAGGTTTGCCGAGGACGCTAAGAGGTATGAACTCAATTTGGGTTATAGTTGATAGATTTACTAAGTCAGCACACTTTTTGCCCGTCAAGACTACATTCAATGCCGACCGACTTGCTGAATTGTATATGAATGAGATCGTTAGACTTCACGGTGTGCCGATGTCCATTGTATCAGACCGAGATCCGAAGTTCGTTTCTAGATTTTGGCAGAGCCTACAAGGAGCCTTGGGAACCGAGTTGAGATTTAGCACGGCTTTCCACCCCCAGACCGACGGACAAACGGAAAGAACGATTCAGACACTCGA